AAAAAATATAAAAAAATTTAATTAGTGTACCATTGTATCATAGTTATGTTGACGGGAATTTACGCGATCACGATAGGTTATTACCACGGTTAAAACGGTCAGTGCTACCCGAGGCGTAAGTGTGATTTTATTTCATTTCAACTCGATCTCGATTGGTGAAGATTTCAATGCAGGCCAATCACAACGCCTAACGCGGTCACCGTGAGGATCGAGTGTAAGTGAAATAAACTCGCACTTCGCCCTCTGGTCGAAACATCAGGCATTTCAAAGGTTTGTACTTAATACCTATCGCGAGGGTGTTTTTTTTTTAGACATAATTATACATAAAGAGTATTCTGAAAATCGGTTCATGAATAACAGTTTTTGACTTACATACTTTTTTTTAACCTACTATTTTTTTAAGTATGTTTAAAATATTATAAATTTAGGATATGCCATAAAATACATTTACAGAGAGACTACATTACCATAGTATTTGCATAGCTTTGTCTTTTCGACCTTTTTATTAGACAGATATGTTTTACAAATGTTTTATGACACATAAAAATGTTTCCATAAACTAGGTTTTTATTTTACATATTATATATATATTTTATAAATATAAATTGGTTATTTTAAAGAAAACATTCACTAACTCCCAGTCCTTTTGTTTCTTTCAGGTTATATTAACTGCCGTGCTCGCGGTCAGTGAAGCAGCAAATATTGAAAAAAGGTACATTAGTCTGTTTAACACGAGAAAATCTGGTGGTTTATTCTCCCCATTGGGTTCGATTGGCATCGAATCACCTGCTGTTCCATCCGGAGGCTACACAAATGACGACCTAGGGGTTGTTGTAGATGCGGTAGCACCTGGCACAAGAACTTCTGGTGTAGAGCCTACAGGTCTTGGTGGTCCCAGAACTTCCTACGGATCATTAGACTCTAAAGTCGGCGATGCAGCGTTTGAGGTCGGAGGTGGAGCGGTTCTGGGAACTGCTTCAGGAATCGGTTCCTTATTTGGCCCTAGTATAGGCCAAGAAGCGCATATAGGATTACCTGGTATTGGTTTTGGCTCCGGATCTAGTTCTATAGATGTATCTGAGGAAAAACCCACTGGTGCACAAGTTACTGGTTTTGGTGTATCAAAAACGACATATGAATCAATACACCCTACTGGCGGAGATGTGGCGCTTGGCGTTGAAAATGCAGCTGTAAAGGGAGGTGCCACCGGAAGCGGTTCTATATTGAGCTCCGGTTCAAGTCAAGCCAATTTAGGATTACCTGGTATTGGTTTTGGCTCCGGATCTAGTTCTATAGATGTAGCTGAGGAAAAACCTACTGGTGCACAAGTTACTGGTTTTGGTGTATCAAAAACGACATACGAATCAATACACCCTACTGGCGGCGATGTGGCGCTTGGCGTTAAAAATGCAGCTATAAAGGGAGGTGCTACCGGAAGCGCTTCTATATTGAGCTCCAGATCAAGTCAAGCCAATTTAGGATTACCTGGTATTAGTTTTGGCTCCGGATCTAGTTCTTTAGATGTTGTTGGGGTAAAACCTACTGGTGCACAAGTTACTGGTTTTGGTGTATCAAAAACGACATACGAATCAATACACCCTACTGGCGGAGATGTGGCGCTTGGCGTTGAAAATGCAGCTGTAAAGGGAGGTGCTACCGGAAGCGGTTCTATATTGAGCTCCGGTTCAAGTCAAGCCAATTTAGGATTACCTGGTATTGGTTTTGGCTCCGGATCTAGTTCTTTAGATGTAGCTGGGGAAAAACCTACTGGTGCACAAGTTACTGGTTTTGGTGTATCAAAAACAACATACGAATCAATACACCCTACTGGCGGCGATGTGGCGCTTGGCGTTGAAAATGCAGCTGTAAAGGGAGGTGCTACCGGAAAGCGGTTCTATATTGAGCTCCGGTTCAAGTCAAGCCAATTTAGGATTACCTGGCATTGGTTTTGGCTCCGGATCTAGTTCTTTAGATGTAGCTGGGGAAAAACCTACTGGTGCACAAGTTACTGGTTTTGGTGTATCAAAAACGACATACGAATCAATACACCCTACTGGCGGAGATGTGGCGCTTGGCGTTGAAAATGCAGCTGTAAAGGGAGGTGCTACCGGAAGCGGTTCTATATTGAGCTCCGGTTCAAGTCAAGCCAATTTAGGATTACCTGGCATTGGTTTTGGCTCCGGATCTAGTTCTTTAGATGTAGCTGGGGAAAAACCTACTGGTGCACAAGTTACTGGTTTTGGTGTATCAAAAACAACATACGAATCAATACACCCTACTGGCGGCGATGTGGCGCTTGGCGTTGAAAATGCAGCTGTAAAGGGAGGTGCTACCGGAAGCGGTTCTATATTGAGCTCCGGTTCAAGTCAAGCCAATTTAGGATTACCTGGCATTGGTTTTGGCTCCGGATCTAGTTCTTTAGATGTAGCTGGTAAAAAACCTACTGGTGCACAAGTTACTGGTTTTGGTGTATCAAAAACGTCATACGAATCAATACACCCTACTGGCGGAGATGTGGCGCTTGGCGTTGAAAATGCAGCTGTAAAGGGAGGTGCTACCGGAAGCGGTTCTATATTGAGCTCCGGTTCAAGTCAAGCCAATTTAGGATTACCTGGCATTGGTTTTGGCTCCGGATCTAGTTCTTTAGATGTAGCTGGGGAAAAACCTACTGGTGCACAAGTTACTGGTTTTGGTGTATCAAAAACAACATACGAATCAATACACCCTACTGGCGGCCATGTGGCGCTTGGCGTTAAAAATGCAGCTACAAAGGGAGGTGCTACCGGAAGCGGTTCTATATTGAGCTCCGAATCAAGTCAAGCCAATTTAGGATTATCTGGTATTGGTTTTGGCTCCGGATCTAGTTCTTTAGATGTAGTTGGGGAAAAATCCACTGGTGCACAAGGTACTGGTTTTGGTGTATCAAAAACGACATACGAATCAATACAATACCCTACTGACGGAGATGTGGCGCTTGGCGTTAAAAATGCAGCTGTAAAGGGAGTTGACACCGAAAGCGGCTCTATATTGAGCTCCGGTTCAAGTCAAGCCAATTTAGGATTACCTGGTATTGGTTTTGGCTCCAGATCTAGTTCTTTAGATGTAGCTGAGGAAAAACCTACTGGTGCACAAGTTACTGGTTTTGGTGTATCAAAAACAACATACGAATCAATACACCCTACTGGCGGAGATGTGGCGCTTGACGTTGAAAATGTAGCTGTAAAGGGAGGTGCAAGCGGAAGCGTTTCTATATTCAACTCTGGTTTAGGTCAAGCTGATTTAGGCTTGCCTAGTATTGGTAGTGGCTCCGGATCTAATTCTTTAGAGGCTTCTAGAATAAGAGCCACGGGAGCAGATATAACTGGTCTTGGTAAATCAAAAACTTCTTTTGAATCAATAAACTCTGAAGGCGGAGAAGCAGCGTTAAATATAGGAAATGAGAAAGCTGAAGATGGTTCTGCTGGGTTAAGTTCAGTATTTGATAGTAGCTCCGGTCAAGAAGCTAAAATCGGATTAACTGGCATTGGTGTTGTGCCAGCGTCCAGTGCCTTAGATGTATCAGGAAAAGTTACGGGTTCAAAAGTAACGGGTTTGGGTGTATCAAAAACTACGTATGAATCCATAGTAATACCTAGCGTTGGTCTCGTATCAGGAATCAGTTCATCAGGATCAGTTGAAGAATATGAACATGATAAAATTCATGCTCAAAAGTTTGCTCATAATGTAGGACTTAGTACCAAAGGAGGTGCTAGTGAAATCGCTTCTGCCTTTGGTTCAAGTAAACAAGTAGAAACAGAATTACCGAGCTTTGGTCTCGGGTCAGGAGTTATTTCATCTGGGATAGTTGAAGGATATGAAAATGACAAAATTCATGCACAGAAATTTGCTAATAACGCAGCGCTTAGTGCTAAAGGAGATTATAGTGGAGTCTCTTCTGTACTTGGCTCTGGTTTAAGTCAAAAAGCGAATACAGGAGTACCTAATATCGGTGTCTTGCCAGGATGTAGTTCATTTGAAAAGTCTGGTGTAAAGACCTCTGGAGCAGAACTAACTAGTTTTGATCTATCAAAAACTTCTCATAGTTCAATAGGCTCTAAAGACGAAGATGCATCAATTGCTGATGCAAGTTTAAAAGTTAGTGCCGCTGGTGTCGATTCTCTGTTTGGCTCTGGTATAGGTCAAAAAGACAATGTGGAACTGCCTGGCATTGGCGTCTTACCAAAAGTTAGTTCTTCAGTAGTAGGAGTAGAAGGATATAAAAATGATAAATCTCATGAACAAAAATTTGAATTAGAAGGTGGCATAGCTACCCATCCACATGTTGAAACTTTGACGTCTCAGAAGCAAAATGCCAAAGAAGAATCTGTCAGCCACGTTCTCGATGGTGAGTAACTTTTTAGTGTTTTTATAATATTTATTTTTCAAGTTTATAATCTATTATAAGCACGTATTAAATACATTATTAAACAAGAACTAGCGCCGCTTCGTAGCATCAAGTTTAACTTAAAAGTTTACACGTAATTTTCATCCAAGTAACCAACTTAACTGGGCAAAAATGCAACCAATTTTAGATGGCTTTTACTGATTTAAATTATGCTATATGGGAATTAATATGATCACGTAATACGATGTGTACGAAAACTAACACAATCACTTAATGCAATATATTATGTGATCGCGTTAATTTTCGTATACATACATAATTATATACATGATCGTGAGTTTAAAGGCTAGTTTAAAATTGGTTGAATTAAAAAACTTAAACCTAATCCTTCTGAGCACCTTCTATAAGCATAGAGTGAACAAGAGCCCCAATCTTGCAATATAGGCAACGAGAGAGGTGAATAATAGATAGATGTCTCTATCTTCCGCTTTGCTTTGCTAAGGAGGGAAGTTGATTTACTGTATGTCGAACTCCTCCAATTTTCTTCTGATTAATTTCGTTGCGGGTTTAATTTTTTTTGTGGGTCACAGCTGTTGATTCTGGTGTATAGGAGTTAGAGTGGTGGGCGTGTTGGAGGTATTAGTCCATTTTAAAAGATGCCTCTATCTCCTTCTAATCGAGCTCTGTGATTGGCTGGGGAATATGAACAGAGACAGAAGAAACTCTTGAGCATCCATTTCTCTTGTTGCCTGTATCACTTACACTTACAGAAAGCTGTAACCCCGTGTTCTCTATATGATTATATCTCTATGGTTACCACAATACAACAGCGAGGAGTAGAAACACCTTTATGTTTATTAATTTAATATTAATATTATTTATTTTTAGATTTATTTTTATTAAGTAACTCACATTGAAATAAGTGATATTTTTTAAGCTTTAATAGTTTTTAAATATCATATTTGTATTTACACTAGTATCTGCATTTAAGTAAATAAAAATAATAAAAATACTGTAATATGAAATAGGTAAATAAAACTTTATTAATTTAAATAAAGAACTAAGTTAATTTGTTTATTGTAACATTGATTTTAAATAACATTTTCATATAGATTTTTTTAGTTTAGTAGTTGTCTCTCTCTGTTTAAAAAAAAGATTTTATTTTAGTAACATATAATTTATATTATATTTTCTAAGACAATTATTGTACTGTTGTATTTAGTATAAACATAATTAATATTTTATAACGTATCGTAGTTAATATAGTCTTTTTTAACTGGTTTTAATCGTTATAGAAAAATAATAAAAAAGTTAAATTTTGTAAGTACTATGTAAATAAATGAAATAAATACATAAATACTAAATATACATATATTACATATGTAAATAAACATAAGTAAACACAAATTTACATATGTAAATAGTGACTTTATATTTATTATAAAAACCAAAAGTATTTAACAATTAGTTAACAAACAATTAATACAAAGTTTAACAATTAATTTACAACAAAATTGAATTCAAACTTCAAATTTTTCTGCATTTAATAACTAAATTATATTTGAATTACAATATTTCATCCTTATAAAGTTTTAAGCTTTGTATTATTTTAATGTTTTTAAAAATATCAATATTGGTTACAACACATTACACGTTTATATTATTGTTTCTATTATAACTTCTGGATCTTCTGGATCTGGAATATGTTATTAAGAAGACAAAAATGTAAAGAAAAACTGTAAAGAAATTATTTATCGACTAAACATATTTGACTACACTGTTCTATTAAACCTTGAATTTATATATTTTATTTTACATATTTATTTAATTGAATAATTTACACCTAATGTATACAGGTGTCTTTTAATTTCTGCAACTTCTTGAAACCACGTGGTCTGCAGCTGTCTTAGAAGAGGGACGCTTGCTTGCTATTGGTAAAAATATGGGGTATTTTAGCGGCTCTTGTTACGCAAGACGCTAATACCTTGCCAAAGATTTTTCTTCATGTTTTTTTTTATTTAAACATAATTTTTCATCGGTATTCTTTCGATTTAAACTCAAAATATCATATGTGGTGAAGAAAACTAACCTAATCTGGTATCATTTCTTAAAGTATTTATTCGTACTCTTTCGCAATGAACATCATACCATTGGCATATTGCATTTCCAGAAAGTGGTGTATTCGACCATGAAAGAATCACATCAGAAGAGATACAACAATTGCCATGACTCTGCAGCGTTTGAGCTTTGCTTAATAGCACCACTTAGTTTGTTCTTTTACTTCTGTGCAATTTTCTTCTAGTCGATGTTTCTAACATTAAATATTTCAGATGATATAAATACACATCAATAAAAATTGAATGTTTTAATGAAATCTTAAAAGAAATGTCTTTCATATAAAAAAGACCATCCATAAATGATCAGATCAACAAATTATCAAAATTGTTTGATCACGAAGTCCACGAAAATAAGTTATCTAGCTTTGACCGAGACAGTTCACTTGCGTGAAAGTCAATATTCTGTCGCTTTTAAGTATTACATTTTTTCTTCATTGACTGATACTAATCACGTGTTTTTATGTACCCTTAAGTAAATACTATTTCATGATGATCGATTACAAAGTAACCGCGACTCATAAACAACTAAGATCATATTTTTATTAATAATATTAACGGATATAAGGATATTTAGAATAAGAGGGTGCTGGTTTCGCGAGTCTTTAACACATACATAGTTATATTCACGTTTTTATTGCCTAAACAAAACAAAAAATAAAAATATCATAAATATAATATTTATCATATTTGACTCAGCCTGTACACATATTTCGTATTTTATACAATTTTATATTTGTTTATATGTGTCATGTTAATTATTTTTATTTTTTCAAGTTTATTAATCGTATAATGTCGAAGTATATTCAATATAAAAAAAGTGTTATAACACATCGATGTTTCTTCTTCTAAAAACAAACGAAAAAACGTCGTGTTGTTGTAATACTTTTTTCATCACATTGGAGTCATTATTAAAAATCCTTGTGTAAAATCTTCGGTGCTAGATAGCCAACGATGAATTTATGCAAAAACACAATGTTTAAAAAGAATGAGAAGTAAAAAGAACGAATATTCGTCCCCAAGTACTTGGCAAAAATTACTTAAATCTTTTTTCAAAACTATTATCTTCAAACGAAGTATTATGCACTTTTGTTGATGCCATATCGTATTATCATTCAAAGTATATTATAATAAAAGGCATTCAGTATAAACATTAATTAAGCTCATCATCAACCATTTTATTAAAGACTCTTTCATCTCCATTCGTCATCACTTTCCTTATCGTCACACGTTAAGGGTCTTTGTCATCTGACATAATACATTCGTTGAAAAATCGTTCACAAGTTTCCTTTTTATTTACAGGCTCGTACAACGTTCAAAATAACAATGACAAGAGTGATAATGCAAAGTGCAATGGTGAAGAGAAGACAAACCTATCTATAAACAGTGGCGATTCAATACTTAAACCTAATTTAGTAGGTCAGGGATCCACTGTTGTCCAAGGTTCCATTGGAAATGGTCAAAGCATATCTACGGCAGGACAATCAATTGAAAATAAATTTGATGGTTTTGGTTTAAACGGTCAAACTGAAACACTAAACACACCGGAATTTCTATACGATGTGGGTAAGATTGGTGTAACAGGGGGTTTTCAGACTGCCGGTTCTTATGGAGTAAATCAAGAGAAAACGCAACATTTTGGAATCCACGCAGAGAAACATGGTGAATCTAATGTCGTCAATCATCAATCCTCAGTTTCTACCTCTGCCTCAACATCTTCAGTTGGAACACCAAATCCAGGCCAACAAGTACCCGGTTCCACAAAGTGCAGCGACGGCAGCAGTGCTACTTTTGGATCTGGTATCACCAATGCATTTAATACAGGTAATTTCAATCAAGCTGGGCAAAACTCTGAGGATTCCAAATTCGGTTCATATTTTTTAACTAGTCCATTTTATCCTGGCTATACGGTGGTTGATAACAGACAGAAACTATCTGGTTATGAAGGTGTCAAATTTTCCACAAATTCTTCTCCATTAAAAGCAGCCCCACTTGTAAATTTTCAAGGACTCCATTTTCCCATCAAAAATTCCCTTAATCTTGATTTAAATAAACCTATTATATCACCCCAATACAGACAACACCAAGGTTTAACGTCTTCACATTACAAAGTTCTAACACAGACTTATGTGCCTTCTTTCACTTCTGCTTTTCTTAAACCTTCTACAAATTTTGCTCAATTATCATCAAATAAAGGTTCATTTTCATCTAATGGAGATCAAGATTCACTTTCTCATAAGTCTACTTTTCTTTCTGATCAGAAACTTTTAGTCCATAATCAATCAAATCAAAAATCTTCCGAATTCAGTGTCATACCAACTCAGTTTGGTAGCATGTCTGGTTCCAAGTTTCTTGAAAAGCCACTGACTATAGGGATTCCTACTACACCTGCCGCATTTGAGAAGATGCCTGAAGCAAAATCAATATCGAACATTGTCTCAGGCAGTCAAAACAATCAATTTGGGTTTCCATTTAGCTCAATAAATAATGCGAAGTCTGTAACCACTCACAGTAGTTCCTCATCCAATAATAGTAGATCAGAAGGGCAATCTACACAAAAATCTCAATCAAACGTCAAACCATTTGATTCTCCACAAAGTACAGGATCCCGTTTCGCACAAATTCAGTTCGGTAACACATTTAGAAGTCAAAGCAGTCTGAATTCACAGAAAGGAATAGGGTTTATGTCCTCTACACCGTCTCAAGTTCAGCATACTACACCAAAAGACGAAAAGTCTCCTGAGTCACAGCCCATCCATAAGTCTTTCCAGCAGTTAGAATATAGTTCCACATCTGGATCTCAGTTTGGTAATAAACCAGAATTAACTTGGAAAACTTCTCAAACATTTCCTATTGTTGGTCAGAAGCCCACAGTAACATCACACTCAGGCTCTGCCAATGTAAAAGCTCAGTTTGGTTTTCCATCTAGCTCATTGAATAGTGCAAAACCTGGGTCCACACAAAGCATTTCCTCATCATATAGTGGTGGATCCAAAGGTCAATCCGTACAGTCATCTCAAATGAGAGTGAAACCTTTTGGTTCATCACAGAATACAGGATTCGGTTCCTCACACACTCAGTTCGGTAGCACATTTGAAAGTCAGAGCGGTCTGAATTCACAGAAAGTTGTAGGTTCTATTTCCTCTACAACTTCTCAAGTTCAGCTAAATTCTCAAAAAAATGTAAAGCAATCAGGGTTACGGGACACCCTTAGGTATTTGCAGCAGTCACAATATAGCTCAACATCTGGACCTCAGTTCGGTAAGAAATCTGAATCAACTGGGACAATTTCAGAAAAGTCGGTGACCACCCATAGTAGTTCCTCGTCCAATAATGGTGGAACAAAAGATCAATCAGTACAAACATCTCAATCGAGCGTCAAACCTTTTGGTTCTTCACAAATTATAGGATCCGGTTTCTCACAAACTCAGATTGGTAGCAGGTTCGGAAGTCAGAGTGGTCTGAATTCACAGAAAGTTGTAGGGTCTATTTCCTCCTCAATATCTCAAGTTCAGCAAAAATCTCAAAACGATGCAAAGCAATGGGGGTCACAGGACAGTCATAAATATTCGCAGCAGTCCCAATATAGCTCCACATCTGGATCTCAGTTTGGTAAGAAGCCAGAATTAACTGCTACAGTTTCTCACACGTTCCCTGTTGTTGGTCAGAAGAAGACAGGCTCTGATAATGAAAAAACTCAGTTTGGTAGCACGTTCGGAAGTCAGAGAGGTCTGAATTCACAGAAAGTTGTAGGGTCTATTGCGTCCTCAATATCTCAAGTGCAGCAAAATTCTCAAAACAATGCAAAGCAATGGGGGTCACAGGACAGTCATAAATATTCGCAGCAGTCCCAATATAGCTCCACATCTGGATCTCAGTTTGGTAAGAAGCCTGAATTAACTGCGACAGTTTCTCACACGTTCCCTGTTGTTGGTCAGCAGAAGACAGGCTCTGTTAATGAAAAAACTCAGTTTGGTAGCACATTTGGAAGTCAGAGTGGTTTGAATTTACAAAAAGTTGTAGGGTCTATTTCTTCCACAACTTCTCAAGTTCAGCATGGTTCTCAAAAAGATGTAAAGCAATCGGGATCACAGGACAGCAACAAGAACTCGCAGCAGTCCCAATATAGCTCAACATATGGATCTCAATTTGGTAAGAAGCCTGAATCAACTGGGACACTATCGGAAAAGTCGGTAACCACCCACAGTAGTTCCTCGTCCAATAATGGTGGAACAAAAGAGCAATCAGTACAAACATCTCAATCGAGCGTCAAACCTTTTGGTTCTTCACAAATTATAGGATCCGGTTTCTCACAAACTCAGATTGGTAGCACGTTCGGAAGTCAGAGTGGTCTGAATTCACTGAAAGTTGTAGGGGCTATTTCCTCCTCAATATCTCAAGTTCAGCAAAAATCTCAAAACGATGCGAAGCAATGGGGGTCACAGGACAGTAATAAGTATTCGCATCAGTCCCAATATAGCTTAACATCTGGATCTCAGTTTGGTAAGAAGCCAGAATTAACTGCTACAGTTTCTCACACGTTCCCTGTTGTTGGTCAGAAGAAGACAGGCTCTGATAATGAAAAAACTCAGTTTGGTAGCACGTTCGGAAGTCAGAGTGGTCTGAATTCACAGAAAGTTGTAGGGTCTATTGCGTCCTCAATATCTCAAGTTCAGCAAAATTCTCAAAACAATGCAAAGCAATGGGGGTCACAGGACAGTCATAAATATTCGCAGCAGTCCCAATATAGCTCCACATCTGGATCTCAGTTTGGTAAGAAGCCTGACTTAACTGGGACAATTTCGGAAAAGTCGGTAACCACCTACAGTAGTTCCTCGTCCAATAATGGTGGAACAAAAGAGCAATCAGTACAAACATCTCAATCGAGCGTCAAACCTTTTGGTTCTTCACAAATTATAGGATCCGGTTTCTCACAAACTCAGATTGGTAGCACGTTCGGAAGTCAGAGTGGTCTGAATTCACAGAAAGTTGTAGGGTCAATTTCCTCCTCAATATCTCAAGTTCAACAAAAATCTCAAAACGATGCAAAGCAATGGGGGTCACAGGACAGCAATAAGTATTCGCAGCAGTCCCAATATAGCTTAACATCTGGATCTCAGTTTGGTAAGAAGCCAGAATTAACTGCTACAGTTTCTCACACGTTCCCTGTTGTTGGTCAGAAGAAGACAGGCTCTGATAATGAAAAAACTCAGTTTGGTAGCACGTTCGGAAGTCAGAGTGGTCTGAATTCACAGAAAGTTGTAGGGTCTATTGCGTCCTCAATATCTCAAGTGCAGCAAAATTTTCAAAACAATGCAAAGCAATGGGGGTCACAGGACAGCCATAAATATTCGCAGCAGTCCCAATATAGCTCTACATCTGGATCTCAGTTCGGTAAGAAGCCAGAATTAACTGCGACAATTTCTCACACGTTCCCTGTTGTTGGTCAGAAGAAGACAGGCTCTGTTAATGAAAAAACTCAGTTTGGTAGCACGTTTGGAAGTCAGAGTGGTTTGAATTTACAAAAAGTTGTAGGGTCTATTTCTTCCACAACTTCTCAAGTTCAGCATGGTTCTCAAAAAGATGTAAAGCAATCGGGATCACAGGACAGCAACAAGAACTCGCAGCAGTCCCAATATAGCTCAACATCTGGATCTCAAGTTGGTAAGAAACCTGAATCAACTGGGACAATTTCGGAAAAGTCGGTAACCACCCACAGTAGTTCCTCGTCCAATAATGGTGGAACAAAAGAGCAATCAGTACAAACATCTCAATCGAGCGTCAAACCTTTTGGTTCGTCACAAATTATAGAATCCGGTTTCTCACAAACTCAGATTGGTAGCACGTTCGGAAGTCAGAGTGGTCTGAATTCACAGAAAGTTGTAGGGTCTATTTCCTCCTCAATATCTCAAGTTCAGCAAAATTCTCAAAACAATGCAAAGCAATGGGGGTCACAGGACAGCCATAAATATTCGCAGCAGTCCCAATATAGCTCTACATCTGGATCTCAGTTCGGTAAGAAGCCAGAATTAACTGCTACAGTTTCTCACACGTTCCCTGTTGTTGGTCAGAAGAAGACAGGCTGTGATAATGAAAAAACTCAGTTTGGTAGCACGTTCGGAAGTCAGAGTGGTCTGAATTCACAGAAAGTTGTAGGTTCTATTGCGTCCTCAATATCTCAAGTTCAGCAAAAATCTCAAAACGATGCAAAGCAATCAGGATTACAAGACACCCTTAAGAATTCGCAGCAGTCACAATATAGCTCAACATCTGGATCTCAGTATGGTAAGAAACCTGAATTAACTGGGACAATTTCACGCGTATTCCCTGTTGTTGGCCAAAAGACAACAGTAACCACACACACAAGTTCTTCGAATGAAAAACAACGCTTTGGTTTTACTTCCAGCTCATTAACTAGTGCAAAGTCAGTAACCACCCAAAGCATTTCCTCATCATATAATGGTGGATCTAAAGGTCAATCGGTACAGTCAGCCCAATCGAGCGTCAAACCTTTTGGTTCTTCACAAAGAACAGGATTCGGTTCCTCACACACTCAGTTCGGTAGCACGTTCGGAAGTCAGAGTGGTCTGATTTCTCAGAAAGTTGTAGGGTCTATTGCGTCCTCGATATCTCAAGGTCAGCAAAATTCTCAAAACGATGCAAAGCAATGGGGGTCACAGGACAGCCATAAATATTCGCAGCAATTCCAAAATAGCTCATTATCTGGATCTCAGTTTGGTAAGAAAAAAGAAGAATCAAGTGGGACAATATCTCACACATTCCCTGTTGTTGGTCAGACGACGACAGTAACATCACTATCAGGCTCTGCGAATGAAAAAACTCAATTCGGTTATCCATCTAGCTCATTTGATAGTGCAAAGCCTGGGTCCACCCAACGCATTGCCTCATCATATAATCATCAATCATCAACAGCCTATACTAGTCCACTGCTGGACATAGGCCTCTCCTTAGAAAGGAGGTTTTGGCCTACTATACCACGCTGGCCAGACGGGTTGGTATAGGGTTTGTTTCAAGTTTTCCTTCTCTTTGCAGTGCTGTTGTCCTGCTTAGTTTGCTCCCTTAGTCGGCTCTTACGACACCCACGGGATGAATTGGGGTAGTGACAATTTGTATTCTTAATCCGTCACCACACGGACTTTAATCCGTCACCACACGGACTTTAATCATATAATGGTGGATCTAAAGGTCAATCGGTACAGTCATCTCAAATGAGCTTAAAACCTTTTGGTTCTTCACAAAGAACAGGATTCGGTTCCTCACAAACTCAGATTGGTAGCACGTTTGCAAGTCAGAGTGGTCTGAATTCACAGAAAGTTGTAGGGTCTATTTCCTTCACAAATTCTCAAGTTCAGCATGGTTCTCAAAAAGATGTAAAGCAATCGGGATCACAGGACAGCAATAAGTACTCGCAGCAGTCCCAATATAGCTCAACGTCTGGATCTCAGTTTGGCAAGAAGCCTGAATCAACTGGGACAGTTTCTCACACGTTCCCTGTTGTTGGTCAGAAGAAGACAGGCTCTGATAATGAAAAAACTCAGTTTGGTAGCACGTTCGGAAGTCAGAGTGGTCTGAATTCACAGAAAATTGTAGGGTCTATTGCGTCCTCAATATCTCAAGTTCAGCAAAATTCTCAAAACAATGCAAAGCAATGGGGGTCACAGGACAGCCATAAATATTCGCAGCAGTCCCAATATAGCTCTACATCTGGATCTCAGTTCGGTAAGAAGCCAGAATTAACTGCTACAGTTTCTCACACGTTCCCTGTTGTTGGTCAGAAGAAGACAGGCTCTGATAATGAAAAAACTCAGTTTGGTAACGCGTTTGGAAGTCAGAGTGGTCTGAATTCACAGAAAGTTGTAGGGTCTATTTCCTCCACTAGTTCTCAAGTTCAGCAAGGTTCTCAAAAAGATGTTAAGCAATTGGGGTCACAGGAGAACATTAAGTATTCGCAGCAGTCAGAATATCGATCAACATCTGGATCTCAGTTTGGTAAGGAACCTGAACCAACTGGGACAATTTCTCACACATTCCCTGTTGTTGGCCAAAAGATAACAGTAACTTCACAGACAAGCGCTTCAAATGAAAAGCCACACTTTGGTTTTACTTCCAGCGCATTAACTAGTGCAAAGTCGGTAACCACCCACAGTAGTACCTCGTCGAATAATGGTGGAACAAAAGATCAATCAATTCCAACATTTCAATCGAATGTCAAACCTGGTTTTACACAACGTACAGGATCTGGTTTCTCACAAACTCAGTTTGGTAGCACGTTCGGAAGTCAGAGTGGTCTGAATTCACAGAAAGTTGTTGGGTCTATTTCCTCAACAATATCTCAAGTTCAGCAAAATTCTCAAAACAATGCAAAGCAATGGGGGTCACAGGACAACCATAAATATTCGCAGCAGTCCCAATATAGCTCCATATCTGGATCTCAGTTTGGTAAGAAGCCAGAATTAACTGCTACAGTTTCTCACACGTTCCCTGTTGTTGGTCAGAAGAAGACAGGCTCTGATATAGAAAAAACTCAGTTTGGTAGCACGTTTGGAAGTCAGAGTGGTTTGAATTTACAAAAAGTTGTAGGGTCTATTTCCTCCACAACTTCTCAAGTTCAGCATGGTTATCAAAAAGATGTAAAGCAATCTGGATCACAGGACAGCAACAAGAACTCGCAGCAGTCCCAATATAGCTCAACATCTGAATCTCAGTTTGGTAAGAAGCCTGAATCAACTGGAACAATTTCGGAAAAGTCGGTAACCACCCACAGTAGTTCCTCGTCCAATAATGGTGGAAGAAAAGAGCAATCAGTACAAACATCTCAATCGAGCGTCAAACCTTTTGGTTCTTCACAAATTATAGGATCCGGTTTCTCACAAACTCAGATTGGTAGCACGTTCGGAAGTCAGAGTGGTCTGAATTCACAGAAAGTTTATGGTACTATTAATTCCATATCAGTACAACCTATTTCTGAATATCGTAAAAAACCGTTTGGCTCACGGTCCGATTACAATACTTTTCAACAATCACAGTATAGTTCAACAACTGGAACTGAAGTTAAATCGGAAGTTAGAACTGTAGTTGGACAAAAGTTCTTAGGAACTTTACAAACGGGTTTCGGGAATGAAGATACTCAGTTTGGTAAATCAGCTGGCTCGTTGCTCATCAAAAAACCACAATCAACTGAAAGCAATTCTTTTTCAGTTAGCAGCATTTTGAAAGACCAAGCAGAGCAAACAGGACAATTAGGTTCAAAATCTTTTGTTTATCCTCAAACAACAGGATCCAGTTTCTCAAAAATTCACCTTGGTAGCACATTTGATTCTCCATATGACAAACAATCATTTGGCAGGCATAATGGCTCTTACCAAGATACCCTACTAGGTTTAGTAACAGGATCACAAGGACTGTCTGGTCAAAAACATACTGGTTCTGGTTCCCAACAGCCTCACTTATCTTTCTCTTTGCGTGATCTTTTAAATTACAAACCTCAGTCAACATTTAGTAAATCTTTCAGTCAGTCGTATACGTCCCAAGGCAATACAGCAAATAAACCGTTCGATAGCATACCAACGCCTCTTCATAGACATTCTGGTGTAGGAATAGGACAGAATCATGAATCTGCTGCTAGTACCTCTGCAAGCTCTGGGTCATTTAGAAACACCAAAACAAAGTATCAAACTACGAATATCGGCACAAACGGTCTTCAACCATTCGTTGGTTCTCTAACGCAAACTGTTAACAAACAAACAAAAGTTTTCGAATTAACACCATCAACTGATTTACTATCTGTTGCCCATTCAATTTTTGATCAAAGTGTTTCCAAAGTAGCCAACACCGTACCTGGTGCTGAAATTCCAATTTCTGTTACAGAAAAAAGTAGCGAGCTCGCCAGTTTTATAGGAAAAGGCGAAACTTTCGGAGGACCCAGAGATCCTCCTAGTTTTGATATTAAAGCTGGATATCATTATTGAACAGTGCCATATAGACTGAATGAATAGTTTTTGATCTATTGAATGTTTTGTGTTAATTAACAGTTAAAACTAATTAATGAGTGCAATTTCAGTGTGTGCGGCATCGTCTTTAAGTGATTTCCAAATTTGAATGATGTTAAACAAACAATACTGTGCTTATAAGTGAGGTTTGATGATTGTGGGCAATAATATGCATCTATGTTTATTTGTTAACGAAATGATAATTTTTATACGAACTACACGAAGCATATTATGCTTATTATGTTTATTTGTTAACAAAATGATTATTTTAATACGAACATTGTTTTAATAAACTGTAAAAAAAAAAACTGTTTTATTTCTATCATCATTTTACAGATCCTGAGCATTTTTATGGTATAGGAAGGTTAGGCGAACATCGCCGACCATGGACACACTTAAGAGATAAAGTGCAATGCCGCCATATGAGTGCCCTCCAGAATTATGGGGAGGGGGTCAAGTCAGGTTAACGGTTAGCACTTACACGGTGAAAAGCAACAAAATAAGTACCTAAAATCGGTTTTCTGTGAGCCTGCGGTATAATTCCTCTAAGCCCATTATGTGACGAAGCATAACTCTGCCACGGTAAACATCAAAATTATAGTTTACATGATCTAGGAACGATATTTTAAAAGCAAACCGAATTAAAAAGTGAAATTTATTACATTTGTAGTCAGTCAACTAGAGGTAATATGGAATAAAGAATAAATTGGTTTACTTTTAGTCTAAACTTGACATATCCAGAGTGTTACAGAAAGACATATTATACATATAAACACCCAGGTGTTTAATATGTATTTATTTACAAAAAAAGTATTTATGTATTTTATATCAGTTGTCCAGTAGCCATAGTACAAGCTCTGCCTAGTTTGGGACTAGATGGCGTTGTGTGAATGTGGTAGAATATATTATTATTATTATATCTTACAAGTTATTAGCTTTATTAGAAGACTATTAAGCTAAGACGGCTGACACGACACTACACTTTTTGCCCCGCACAACCAATCTGTGGAACGGGTTATCGTCTGCCGTATTGCCGGACCGATACGACCTTCAAACCTTCAAGAAAAGAGCGTACCCCTTCCTAAAAGGCTGGCAACGCGTTTGTGACTCCTGTGTTGCAGACGTTCATGGGCGGCGATGGTCACTTTCCATCAGGTGACCCGTCTGCTCGTCTGCCCCTTCTTACAAAAATAAAATTGAACTGAACATCATGTGCTTACCCTTATCCCAGTTTTATCTGGGTTGGCGCAGTAAGTAAGTGATTCTTGGAGAAGGTCGGTTCTTCCTACTCTTACTCGAAATCCTCCATTTGACCTCCATTACCAGCAATTTATGTTGCAATACTACGGGTTCTCCGGGCACCACTTTGCAGTTTCTGACACAAACCAACTTATGAGAGTAACATAGGCTACTTTTTATGAGAGCTACCACTGTTATACGTGATCAGATGTTCATGACGAATGAAATTGACCAGAACATAAATAATATATTGTTACACTAAGACAAGAATATTTAACTAAGAAATAATCTTATTTTATTCATTCTAAATTAAGCATGCTGTATTTTAGATGACATCATGAGACAAACTTACCATATTTAATATGAAACTTGTTAATAAGCGTTAAAGGTCATCAATCAGATCTTTATTAATTCTTGACGGTCTCGGTGGTGCAGTTCGATTCCCGGGTCGAACTAAATGTTTGTATGATTTGCAAATATTTGTTTCAGAGTCTGGGTGTTTTCTATGTACATTATTTTTGTATTTACGAAAAAAAAACGGCGTGTGAGGTCTATGGACCCCAGTTCGGAATGAAGTTCTGCAAGAAGTGTCGGAAAAAGTCTTGTTACACATTTTTCGGTCTAACTCCATACGCTCAGAGCGTGTAACGCGCGATAAGGAACTTCGCTTCAAAGTATACAGGGTGTAAGGGACGTTTTAACAAATACTGAAAGTATTCAGATCATCATTCTGAGTCGAAAACCATTGAAAGGTACATTATCAGCGAGTAACAAATGCTACTTTTTACCGCAATAACTGACTGACACGCGGGCAGAACCTCGGGCAAAAGCTAGTTTTAAATATACACATAAAACAAGTATTTCAATAAAATTAATATGTTTCAGAGGTTATTAACACCACTAAAGCTATTTTATAAATACAATAAATTAATCAAAGTTACGAACGCATTTGTTTCTGTATTAATCTTTAATTAATAATGATTTATTACTCGCTTTTTTTACTCCTTTATTAATAAGTAGCTGACCCTGCAAACTGGTATTTACATTATTTAAAAAAAAAAAATGAGTTTCCTAAAATCCTTTCTTAGCTGACCTCTACTCGGTGAAAAGAATATTCCTACCAAATTTCAAGTCTTTATCTCTAATGGTTCCAGAGATATCGCGATGAGTGACTATATACGTGGAAATCTCTTATATATATATATATATATAGATGAAATATTAACTATACTCTAAGTATTTGGTGACGCGCTTACTTTATTTGGTTTTATTAAATTGAGTTAGGTAAAACCATGACATTGGTGTATAAATTAATTGCATTGAGGTTATGGTAGTTTGAAATAGTAAAAAATATATTCTAATAGACATAATATATTCTAATAACATCAGGCGAGCTCAAAATATAAAAAAAGGAACAAACGATAAACTTTAAGAAAATGGTTCGAGAATTTTATATGTATCCTGATTAAGTTAGTTACGTATTAAAACATTATAAGAATGTTCCTTTTTTTCTTTTCTTCATTTATGTGATATACTTAATTAATTATGTATAGATTTGTGTGAATATGTATGTATATTTATTGGTATGTATAACCTGACAAAACTCATTGCACCTTCCACTGCTACTGTCCTTAGAAAACACTTTAATCCATTTATTATATTGCAATTTAGCAATTAGTAAATAGCAATAAATATGTATCATATTACTTGTAAAACGGTGTACCAATAAAAAGTTTTCTATCTATCTATCATATTCATGTATAAAAAATTTGCTCAAGCAGTAACCGACAGCAAGATCAGGAGTTGCAAGAATCGCGGATTTTGGGACTTCAAAATGTTAGGTTGTAGTTAATTATATGATTAATTCTATTTATATTATTCTATTCCGTGTGGTGATGGATTAAGAATACGGAGTGTCACCACCCCTCATCTCATTGGTGTTGTAAGAGATCGAGAGGAGGAAGGAGCAAACTACTCAGGATAACGGCACTGCAAAGAGTAAAAAAACTTGAAACAAACCCTGTACCAACCCGTCCAGCAGTGGACTGCTAAAGGCTGATATGAAAAATTAATAAGGTGTTAAAAAGCTTGACCCATGTTTTAAATTAAAAGAAACTCTTTTAATAATAATACTTTCACACAGCGTCTGATCCCATTGCTCATCACACAATGATTTGAATCGAACCCACGACCTCCGGCTTAACAGTCAGGGCCATTAACTACTAGACCAGTATTCCAGTCAAAATATAATCGTTCTTCGTACAGCAGCATAAGCAGGTAGGTTTATAATACCATCGGTTTTATTTAAAAAATAATCTTCTTAAATATAAAATTCTCGTGTCACAATGTTCGTTCCCGTACTCCTCCGAAACGGCTTGACCGATTCTCATGAAATTTTGTGTGCACATCGGGTAGGTCTGAGAATCGGCCAACATCTATTTGTCATACCCCTAAATGGTAAGGGTGACCCATCCCTAATTTTTTTTTGTTTTGCAATACAACGTTTGCCGTGTCAGCTAGTACTATATAATATAATCCATACTTAATATTATTTTTACAAAAGTGTGTCTGTCTGTCTGTTCCACTCCACGCTTAAACAGCTATTTAGATGAAATTTGGTATAGAGATTGAGTACCGGGAAAAGACATAGGATAGTTTTTATCCAAGAAATCATTCTTTAAGGGAGTGAAAAGGGGGTGGAATTTTGTAAGGGGAATCAAAAACCGCTAAACCGATTCAGATGAAATTTGGTATGGAGATAATTTGATTCTTGAGGAAGAACATTAGGTACTTTTAAGCGTGATAACCGATATACACGGGAGCACAGCTGCGGGCGAACGCTAGTGTTTAATATTATGATAATAGCGTCGTATTATTATTGACTTAGTATACCTAATAGTATTGTGTGACTAACTAGTTATTGTTCTAAAATCGAATTTTATTAAATGCCAAAGTTATTTTAAAGCGGATGTGTTTTTTTTAATTTTATTTATTGGGAAAACCAACAAGAACATACACCTTAAAAACCTTTGTCTCTTAACAAATACAGTTTACTAACTAGTCCACTGCTGGACATAGGCCTCTCCTTAGAAAGGAGGGTTTGGCCCAATATACCACGCTTTTCGAGACGGGTTGATATAGGGTTTGTTTCAAGTTTTCCTTCTCTTTGCAGTGCTGTTGTCCTGCGTAGTTTGTTCCCTTAGTCGCCTCTTAAGACACCCACGGGATGAATAGGGGTGATGACATTCCGTATTCTTAATCCGTCACCACATGGACCCCTTATCCCTCGGCATTAAGTCCGCCTTTGTACAACATGTGCGTTAAGTTTTAAATAAATAAAGGTCACCTAATAGTAAATGACTATGGTTGCCTAAGGACACCTGCAAGTCTGTAGACACAAATTTGTTGCCGACCGTTAAGTAAAAAAGTCCAACCTCGTCAATTCTAGAGGGGGCTCTAGAATTTACGAGGTTGGACTCGAGCCTTTTCTCGCGATAAAATGTAGCCTATTCCTTACTCAAGCTCTAATCTATCTCTATACCAAATTTAATTAAAACTGATTCTGTAGTTTAGGCGTGTACACGTAACAGGCAGACAGAGTTACTTTCGCATTAATCTATACTTCCATACTTATTCTATACTTATATTATAAATTTAAAAATGAGTTTGTTTGTCACGCTTTCACACCTAAACCACTGAAACTGATTTTAAAATTTCTTTCGGTACCGTAACCGATATTC